ATTCTATATAAACATATAAAATAATATAATAATACCAAGTAACTTTCCTAGATATGTTCATTTTAGTGAACATTGTTCACATGTGGTTCTGAAAACACTGATTGAGAGGCAAGAATATAAAATGCTCTTTCTTTGTTTTTTTCCTCTGTAAATGTATTCTGAATGGATTGAAAAGAAATATGATGGATTTCATTCTTATGCAAAAATCTTGCCTTCCTAAAAAATTGTTGAGTGGGAAAAAAACTAAGGCCGAAAGATTCAGCTGCTTCCTACAGGTAATAAATCTGGAAGGGAAGAGAGTTTACAAGTGACTTAATTGTCATTTCCAAGCATGGTCATAATTTTCAAAGACACAGCATGGAACAAGAGGAAGTACAGTCAAATGCCTCAAGTAACACATGTCTCTGTGTTACTAAAAAGAGTATTTCCAGTGGTTGTATCAGTCCTTTCCTGGGAAAAATCAGTCCGATATAAGCCTCATTCTTGCGACATAGTTCACCAGGATGCTGAGGTAGCATCCACACAGAGAGGTGGCAGAAGTTCTCTCCAACTTCTTCTAAATTAACTTACCCATAAATACCTGTTAAAACCCCTTTCTAACACATATATAACCTCCTTCCACTCTGCTCATTCACCACTTCCAAATGTAAATTGCTGGGCAATTGTTTGTATCTACCGTATATCCCAAAGGCAGACGTTCATCAAGAAAATAGTAGAAGTTCTGAAAAAAGAGAAACTGCAGTATCCTGAAGCTGTGCTCCTATGTATATATTGTAATGTGATATTAAAGACATTAATATTAAACTTATTTAAAATCAAGCCTTCTTGCAGGTTGACTCCGTGGGTGTGTGTCTCTCTATGGCTTACTGCAGTGGAAGGTGTGAATGCTGCTCCGCAAGACACCAAGCTGCTATCTAAGCATGGACAGCAAGAGCAATGCTAATGTCTAGGCTCCACTCTCAGGCTACCTGAACCTGTCTGGAAGCCTAAGCAGATCCTTCACCTCAGGAAGAGTCGTGACCACAGGGGGCATTCACTTAAACACTGGTCTCTCCCAAATGATATCATCTTTGCCTACAACACGTCACTGCAGTCAGTGATTTTTGCCCATTGATTTTTGCACTGCAGATCCAACATGATCACCAACATAAGCATGATAATATAACATGATAATGGTAACATAACATCATATAGCATAATGATAATATAACATGATATAGCATGATCAATATAACATGATAATCTATATAAGCAGTACACATAGCTCTGAGAAAAGCCTTCAGAATCCATGTAAACAATAAATACCCAAAAGAAGTAACAAAGAAAAAAAGAGTGAAAATACCTCATGATATTTTTTCACTGTTTTCCCTGACATGCACATGCAGGATTTCCAGTTCGAAGTCCCGCAGCCACAGTTTCCTCCACAGCGCTGGACAAGGAGGCAGCGGGGGAAGAAAACTGCATTTGTCAGCTTCAGTTCCTCCCTTAAATTGACAGAGTAGTTTCTTGGAGTGCAGCTGTAACGTTTCACATCATCATTCAACCTGTCCAGGTCAACTGCAATGCAAAAGAAGTTTCATTAGCAAGTTTTGAGTGGGACACTTCTCTGTTATACAACTCCCCAGGCAGCCAATAACACAAAGTGATGTGACACTGGTTGGAAAATATGTGAAGTATAGCAGTGATTTCTGAACAGATAAACATAAACCCACCAATTTTAAATCATTACAGGCAGCCATCCAGGCTCTCATCCTGTTCCCACTGACTCCCATAGCAGAGCTCACACTGACTAAAAAGGAGAAGGAAAGGCTTGAACTAAAAAATTGGCCTGAAAGCTGAAGACTGGTTATTTTATTTACTCTGTCACTGATCTGCTGGATCCTTGGGTAAGAGATTCCACCTCCGCTACTGTCTTCCTTCCCCTGCTTATACCTGGCTTACATAGATGATGAGCTCCTGTTTTTTTTGTTATGGACACAATTCCTTTGGCCTAACTGCAGGTATACAAAAGGCAAACACTTTAAACAAGGCTCTTCCTGTGATCAGAAAAGAAACATCTTCGGTAAGTGATTCATCCCTTCCTCAGAAGGGCATTTAGGACAGGTGGCATGACTTGCTTTCTCAAGTTGCCTGTCTGTATTGCTTATGGATAGAGTCTAGACAACTGATGGAGAAATCAATCTAGGTAATATTAATTTCAGCTGGTAAATGCTACTATAATAGGCATACAAATAAATACAATTAAAACTAATGAGCTTCATTGAATGCCAGTAGTTGGTTGATGTTTAAATGCCTGGTATCTCTGTGAGATGTGTCATATAAACAAGTAGTAAAGCCAACCATAAAAATAACTTATAGACTATCAATTGTGAGTTTAAGTGCTGTTTCCAGCCTTAGCTTGTAAAGCTAAAACAAAACAAAAAAACAACCTTCCATAAATACATTTTCCACAATTGTAACATGGATAGAAGTAACAAATTTAATGAGTTTTATTTCTGTAGAAGTCTTCTGATTTCTTTTTCCCTCCTTTTCTGCATTCTTCTTTTCCTTAGGATTCTGTCCACCAACTAAGTGTTCAAAAGCTCAATAATGCATCCAGGATTGGAGGATATGTGAACTTGTATTGAGAAGTGAGGTCCTCTGGATTGAAACTGAGAACCAGAAAGAAAATTAAAATGCATTTTGAAGCCACTGAGCTTTAAACTGAAGAATTCATTTTCTTTTGATTCAAATCTTCAAATTTCAGAAAAAAATGGAAAACTGGAAACCACAAGCACGGTGTCTCACTGACAAATCACTAATTATATGAACATTCTTTTTTAAAAGACAAGTAAATTACATTCAAAATATAAAGTAAGCTGAACAAAAAAACCAGAAAATGACTGGAGGGCACAGTGGACAAAATATAATCCCTTCCTATCCCAAACAGTATTTTCTAACAGATACATCAACAGGAGAAAAGGAACGGATAAAGGGAGATCTGAGATAATAGTCTAGCTTTTGTGAACACATCAGATTTTCGTGGGCATGTTTAATAGTTCAACACCACCTCTGGTCCTGAGTGCACCTATGCTTGTGCTTTACTATAAACATGTGAAAACGTCCAACAAAGACAGGAATACTACAATGCTTCATACCTTCTGTTACTCAGCCCTTGTCAACATCACAAAGCAAATTGTGGAATAAGCTGTGATTTGTAAATATCATGCAACTTTACATTCTGGCCTGGAGATATTCACCAGGCAGATATGCAAGAAGTAAGGGTACATAAATGTTGTGAGTGCTATTATAGAAAATCATAGCAGCTTCACTTTTCTGGCAAGGTGTTATCTCAGTCAAAAAGAATTTAGCAGATAAATTGCAATTTTATAGCAATTGTGATACATCTCGCCATGAAATCTCAGTGGTTCTCTCCAGAGAGCTAGCATCTCTCCAAAAAGCTATAGATCATCCTCCTGATATAACCACAAAATCGATGGGGCTGCTGGTGTACTCACACACTGGGAGAAAAATACACTCCGAATGTCCATAGCCAGGACTCAGAAGTCCAGAGAACATCGACTTCTTTGTTTTAAAAGACGATATTTTGTTCTCTGCTGTCATTCTCCAAAGCCACCCCTTCTCATTGCAGGCTCTGAGGCTAATTCTTTTCGCAGGGAAGTGTTTCCCTTGCCTCTAAACATTCTCATCAGGACCTTTGCCATCAGCTTTGCTAACTGATAAAGCAAAGAGGTATCTGGCAATTGTTCATTTCAGCTATTGACATGAGGGAAAAATTAATCAAAGGAAGAAGAGGCCAGAGAATATTATGCCTTCATGAGTAATGAGATTTCTTGAGGGGAAAGCCTGGATCTTCCACACTCTGGCATGGCAGCAATCCAGGGGAATGGCTATTGATATGAGCAGGCTGCTGTTGGGACAGGCTGGCCGTGGACTAAGACAGCATTTGCTGATGGTGCATCTCTAGACAGAGTTAGAATAAAATGTTCAAAGGCTTAATTCAGCTTGTGATTGCAATGCCTCCTGCTGAGGTAGCACAAGAAACAAAGCTTCCAGCAACAAACTGGTCATTAAAGAGGGCCCAGACCCAGGTCATATGAACTGACATCTGTGTCCAGGAGAAGATGACTAGGGGACTGAACAAAATTTGCTCTATCACGGATGAAATTTCCCCTCAGGCTCAACAGTCCTCCTTCCTGCATTGAGCTCATACCTATTATCACTGCTGTGTTATCAATGCAGAAATGAGTCTTTGTAACGAGACTGGCAGAGAGGGAAAGCACCGACATTTAAAAGACCAGGGTGGTGAGGCTTTCCTGCAGAGAGCATATTATATCCATCACAGTGTTACACATATTAGCTACAGTACTTAAGCTGCTCAATTTAAATGGCAAGGGGTGATCTGGCAAAGGGCTTTCACTGGAGGGAAGGCTTTGCTCACTAGCCTTCAAAAGCCTAGTTTTGATGACTTTCAGAAGTTTTTGCAGGGTCTCTTAGGCTGTAGCTGAGTCAGTACTGTGGAGAGCTGTTGACTTACTTGAAGCATAGGAGGGAATAACCAGATAATTAGGATAATTTTTTCCCTATGCAGTGTGAAGGAACTGGTATTTTCAATGGGGGCTCAAAACTTTTTCTGGATGCATTATTCTGGAATTTTGATATCAACCAGTAGCAAAATACATTTTATTTAGTGTATTTTTCTATTATGAACTATTTTTGAAAAGCCTATGGGAAATTTTCCAATGGAAAATTGCATGAATTCTCCTTGGTTTCATGCTCAAGGCATTCTGATCCTCATTAGCAGTTTTCAGGACCCCAAATCCCAGAGTTATCAGTTAAGATGTAAATTCTCTGCACTTTGGCATATCTCAGGTATCAGAGTCCAGGCTGAAATGGACAAATATAATAGCAGAAAGGTCTTACTTTAGTGATGCTGAAATCGTGAAAGTAAATAACTGCAAGCAGAGAAGGAAAGACTAAATAAAGGGCTTAAGAGATACACAACTCATCCTCCATAAAAATTCATCTGGAGGCAAACACCTATGCTCTTTTTCACTCTGCTCTACAGAAATTCAGCATTTGGTGGGATAAGGTGAGCATGCAATGCCTTCTGTGAACAGCATATACTGTACTCTGGTAGTATCACACTGACACCCAAGAACAGCTCCCATTGCCTAATTAGCTTTAGACCATGGTTTGCAGCCCCCTAACAAAAGAACACATTTTGCTCTGAACAACTCTCTCTGCTGAAAGCTTTGATATGCATTTTTCCCTGTCTTGGGATTGTTTTACTGTCTGGAGCCAGTCCATTTCCTCATCCATATAACAATGAGATTTTACAGTACAGTCAGTTTCATGCATCACTTCACTGCTGTGACTAAAATGTAACTGAGCCTTGGTGTGATTGGTGTGAAATCCTGCTGCTTTACTTATCAAGGACTGAAACCACTGGAGTCCTTAATTTAAAACTAGAACTAAAAGGTTCTGTAGACTGGATGCAAATAACTTCAAAGTATTATTACAGAATGTCTGCAACAGAGATTCAATTTAAAGGCAAGGCAGACATAAAAAGATGCACTGGAGCAGTAAGCTGGATACTTGGGGTAGAGCGTTTGCCCACTCCTCCCCCTTAAATCCTATGCTTAAATCCATCATCACTTCACATAGCGCTATGGCATGTGCATACCATACATTGATCTTAATCAGAGGTAATCATTGAATTCAGGGACTGCAGCTAATACCATGTCTTACTCAGAAGGGACAGCCTTAAAGAATGGAGAGGAGAGAAAACCTGTGCTGCTGGTCACTGATTAATTTTAAAAAGACAGGTGGTCTGTTAGGTTTTAACACTTTATTTGCTCCAAATTCATACATGGCCCTAACGTTGGCATATCTGAACATTTTACACTTTTTTCCATGCATTAACCATGGATCAGAGCTGAGGCGTGAGAGATGGTAGCCACCTTGCCACAGTGTTCCGATACCACAGGTACCACTTACGGGTCCAAATTACTCCTAGGACATTCCGACTGGACACAAGAAGAAATTTTTTTCACAATGAGAACAATCAGCCATTGGAATAATCTCCCCAGGGAACTGGTGCATTCCCCAACATTGAACACTTTTAAGATCCAGCTGGACAGGATGCTGGGCTATCTTGTCTACACTGTGCTTTTGCCAAGAAAGTTTGGACCACATCATCCTTGAGGTCCCTTTCAACCTGGTATTCTATGATTCTATGATTCTATGTTTCTATGATTCGATGTCAAGGCCATCTACAGGCAAGGCAAGATGGATTCAGGCAGGTGCAGACCAGTCAGCCTAACCTCAGCCAATGGTAAAATTAAGGGGTAAATCCTCCTAGAAGCATTGTCTAGGCACATGAAAGACAAGAGGGTGACTGGGAACAGCCAGAATAGATCTACCAAGGGCAAATTGTGCTGGACCAACCTGAGACTCTGCTATGATGAGACAACTGTCTTGCTGGCTGAGGTGAAAGCAGCACAGGCATCTGCTGATTTTTGACAGTGATCCATAGCATCCTTGCAGTCAAACCA